AACCAATTTCCAAATCCCATTTCGGGCTTTATCGACCAGCCACCAAAAAAGGGATTTCTTTGCAACCGGGTTGCCAAAATGAACCGGGTTGCCTAAGTTTCTATATCATGATGATCTAGTCATTTGAAGGATCTATAATGATGCCATTGCAAGCAAAAGGTTAAAAGCTTACAGCTGCGTTGGGGGGTGGTCTCGCTCTGATGGCAGCTTCTATGAAGCCGGCGGTTTTTGTTCTTTTGTGCAATAGACGCTATTCTAGTCATTGTTATATGTTTGGTGAAGCACTTCTTTGCTGGTGCAGTGCCAGCCACTCGTGGCTTGGGCGCTTTTGTGAGCCAGTGTGCAGAAGCTTGCCATGTGAAACGTAAGAATAAACAAACGACCAGTGGTGCAGTGAACAATCAAACCATGTTTCAGCAGCAGCGGGTTTTTGGTTTATTTTTTTACGCGCCGGGCCACAACGATGTTCGCGCCAGTGACCAGCATGCACAGACCTCAGCCCACAACACCTCGATTCTTTCTGGGCCAAACAGGTTTTCACAGTTGGGCAACATACTGCCGCCAACCATCAGGTCAGATTCTGAAGCTGAACACCCACCGACCACGAAGCCAATGAAAGTATTACCCATGAAGGTGAAGGTGCTATCAGTTTTTACCTTTCAGTCTTCTTGTCAGGTTTCCTTTGTTTTGGAACACAAACAGATGCCAGGTCCCCAGGAACTCTGGGAAAAAGAGGCTTGTCAGAGGGAAGGTGGGCAAGAACCCTGTGAGGGTCTTCAAGTTGAAAGATTTCGAGAAGGCGCTTCTACACAGTGACTTGTGAACCATGCCCTGTTTCGAGAAACGAAACTTAACACGTTTGTGTGAATGCACGCCACTTGTTTTGATTTGGGTAGAAAAGTAATTGTTCACCTGGTTCAGGTGAGGATGCCCTTGCACGCCTCGATCCGCCGAGATGGAAAGTTACATGTTTTCAATTGCAAGATGCCGAGCTGTTCGCCTTTGAACTTGAAGGTGGCCATGTCCCTAACCATCAGTTGTGACTTCAACAATTTACATCCTTTTTGTTTGGTGTGACCCAGGTCAGTCGCCAGAAGCAAGCTGGCAGGAAACGCAATGGGGCCAAAATCTTTGTTGGCGCTCGTACATTCCGATTTTGGAGTTGCCTTCGCAGGGTACTCAAGGTTTTACATACAGCGTAGTATACGCCATACGCATTGGAATCCAGTAGCTGATTGAGGCGTTTTTGGTGCTTCTCACCGCTGCACCAAGTCAGAGGTATCAGAACGGGGAATATCGGCCCACTCCTTGGCAGTTTTGACATTCGAGTAATTCCTATTTCACGCCAGTTTGAGTGCAGTTTGGCCGAGGATTTGCCGAACCAGATTCAGCATTGGGACAAGTACCGTGAACGGGCGCGTGAGCTCAAGATGTCTCCGGGAGCTTTTTTGGCCCCGCGTGCTGCAGAATGGTTCTCCGGTGCTACAAGCTTGTTTCACATACGTGTGTCAACTTGATATGAACATTTTTTGCCAGGCCTTCCAACAAATTGGACACTGCCTGGCACTGGCCAAGTCTGCAGAAAGCAGGTCATTGACCTGTTTCCACCACATGTCTCAGCCTCACTTGCGTTTCAACACTTGGGGTTTATTGTATGAACCACTTCCGGTAAGGTGAGGACCCCATTGAGCGAACAAGTTCCGTGCGTATCTCTATTCACGGGTGTGGCTGGGTTGGAGCTTGGCCTGAGCCAGTCAGGCTGACGCGCTTATGTTTTTTCTCGTTGAATTAGGTAGCTGCTTGCTTGAAGGGTTCTTCTGGAAGCTCAATTTGGCTCACAGATGAGAAGGTTTGGAGGTTCGATAGATGGAGGAATGGCAGAAGGTGCGAACAACAGGCGTGAACCAAGTCAGGCCGGAATCTTGTGAAACAGTTTCAATATCAATGTATTAATGTAAATAACAAGATGCAACAAGTGCTGTGCGTCAAAAGGTTCTTGGGAATGATCAGTGTTTTCATTTGTGAGGGTGCTTCATGGATCGCCAGTGATGTGCAAATGGCAGAAATTGACGTCCACACCTCATTGTGTGATCAGAGTTTGTGTGACGTGAAATGAATGTTCTTTGGGTTGTCGGTCAACCTGAGGTGGCGTTGGGACAAGAACCAATGGGTTCAATGCTCAGAGGCTGAGATGCGTAGCATTGCAGCAAGGCACCTAGAAACTGGCCAAAAGGCAACCCGTTTGCGGGGAGCTTCTGAAACAGAAGATGCTGACCTTGTGGCGTCAGAGCCATCCAGCAAGCGACTCCGGTGAAAGAGTGATAACTGTTTGTTAGAGGTCCAGTCTTGAAGCTTCACTCTTGCGGTCTTTCCTTCGAGCTCTGACGTGAGTTTCTTATGTTTCACAATGGGTGAAATTGTGTGCCAGTTGGCTGCGACCCGTGGCGATGGCCTCACTCTTAGCAAGGTTCGATTGAATTTTCCTTTCCTTCAGTTTGACTGAGCCTCTTTTTGAGGTTGAACAAGCAGATTTTTGCAATGACGTCCTTTCCTCGCGGCAAAGCGACGGATGCCTCCCTTCCGATTGCGCCTTGTACAGGGATGTCAGGCAATATTCACCTGCAGGATCAGAGCTCGATGCTGTATGGGTGACCGCAGGGTTCCCATGCCAGGCGGGGATGCAGTGCACTTATTACAGAAGTTTGTGTGGTCGCGCGCCTGTAGTCAAGCGTGTTTTGCAATGGCAATGAACCAAGTATACAGCATGTCAGCGTGCTGCAACTTTTTTCTAAACAAAAGAAACGTGCCTTCCAGGGAGTTTCAACAGCGGGCCTGGGTCGTGGACTATCTGACAAGCGGTCGTCATTGGTCTCTGAACCCTTCAGGGTGTATGACCTTTTGCCTAAGGGGCGCGGCCCTCGGAACGCAGCTGGAAGGTAATTTTTATTTATATATTGAATCCAACCAAGTTCAATATGAGGCAGGGCATATTGCTTGAGAATGTCTATGCGCTCCTCTCCAAGAAGGCGTCCTGCCGCAAGCTCTTCGCTTATATCTTGAAGGAGCCGCTGCGTCAGGATTCTTTTTGAAGAGATTGTGTTTTGAACGCAGGAAGCTCGCAAGAGAGAGCTGGAAGTTTCGTGGGTCACGGTGGCGCTGACCAACGTTGGGTTGCAAGTGTGATCCTTATATTGAATTTTTCTGAAGGTTGATTTCCTGGTAACCCAATCTGAATACTTGTGAGGCTCACAGAAAGCGAGTGTTCATTCTGCTGAGTCGGCCATCCTTCTCTTTTCCGGACTGGCCACTTGTTAGTCACTCATTTGAACATAATGAATGTTCAGAGTACTTGGGATTCACTTGGAATGCTCATTTATAGTCAGTCTTTGGATTTCGGGGCCAGGATCTCTTCAAGGCGGACATTGATGTCAGCAAGCCCTTCAACCCTCACAGCGCTGTGCCAATTGATAATTGGCTCAGCCATTCATACTCAGAGAAAGACACGGAGCGCCTTAAGACGATGGGAAACATCGTTGTGCCGCTCCAAGCGCGGAAGGCTCTCAGCATCCTGACCCAGGTGCACGCACTCAACAGATAGTTGGGTCATGTCACATGTCATTATTAGTTCTAAATTCGGTCAGATACAAAAGAACGGTGTTTGGTGTATGTTCGCTTCCTGTTGTCAAGAACTCAGTGTGCTTTTTGCACCCTTTTGCACAATAACCATTAAATATGGACGAGCTGGGATGCTGCTCATTAATTCGTTATGCCACCTTGATCGCCAATCCTGCATGGTTGCTAGGGCTCCTTGATTCAAAGCAGCGTCCAAACGTGTGCAAACAAAGTTTAATTTGTCTGATTCCTTGGAGCCCAACTACGGGTAATTTGAAACTTGCGAGAGCTTGCGTTCCTTTTGGTTCCTTGGCGAAGTGCTCAGTATTCCTCAGCTTTTTGATAGCAGAGCACGGTTATGGTATTCGCCTCCAGGTGGAAACTCCTTTATTCTCTGCGTGTGAGGCTCTTGGACCTCAACAAAATTGGTTCAGCTTCGATGGCAGGTTTCAGCGGCGAGTTTGTCAGCAGTCTTTACTTTGTAAAAATGTGCAGTCGCGCAACACTGAAAAGATTTTACAACAAGTCTTGCCAGAATTTCCAGCGGTGTTCAGAGACATTTGCGCAACAAATCTTGCCAGGATTGCACGTGGTTGAGATTTGCACGGGCCTCACCTTGTGTGGGGTCATTTTGGTGAGCTTTGCAAGCTTTTGGTGCGTCCCTTGCGCTGTGTGGGGCTGTCTAGTTTTATATCAACTAAGTTCAACCAATGTTGGAAGAAGGTTGCCTCAACCAAACTTGGCAACCGGCGATAAACCTTAGTATGGAGTTGGCCACGATGTCCATGCGCAATTGCCGCGCTGCTTCCGACACTATCTCAAAGCTTTGAGGCTCACACTAGTGGGCATGGCCCAGGATAAGTCATTTTCATTCCTACATGCTTCAGTCTTAGACGTTGGTCTAAAGTTTGGAGGCGTATTGCAACAATGAGGGGTGCTTTGTAAACAGAACAGTGCGCCCCCAGTACATTGTTCATTCCTTACCTTGCTGAATTGTTTCAATGTTCTTTGTCTTGAGACACACAGCCAGCCAAGTCATGTTTGAAGCTGTTGATCAGTTCAGCAGTGATGGTTCCGAGACGGGCCCTCCGAGTCCTGTTGTTGAGACGAAAAGCAAGAACAAGAAGAAGCGGATCAAGCGTGAGCAAAACCCTGTTGATCCTGAGCCGAGATTGCGTGCCACTTTGGGAAAGGCTTGCAAATGCAAGCTTGGCTGTATGGCACATTTCACCAAGCAAGAGCGTTTCGAAAGGCTTCTTGCGTTTAGGAAGGAATGGGACGACTTGCACAAACTTGACCAGGACCAAGTAGCGCCCCAGTTCATTTACTGGGTACTTTTTGTGATGGCATGTTTTTTGACATGTTTTTGTTTGGGAGAGAGGTTGTCGGGCTTTGGTTTCTCTGTAAATCAAGGCATTTGAGCGCATCCGGGGCATTTTGCGGAAGCATGGGCAGGAAGGTGGTGATGACTCTGCTCCAGTGAGCAAGACGCGGTGGCAGCTGCTGGGCAGAACTGTTTGCATTGGTGCCTGGAAGAGGCTCCACGCATTGGGTGGCTTGCTAGCAGGTTCATATCTTGGGAAATTTGGTTTTCACGTTGTGGCAAATGGTTTGACTCTTTGATTCGTTGAGTCTTTAATAAGCCGCGCAAACAGTATATAGGTTCCCACCGCTTCGGGAGATTAATGGATGCTGCTCGTCGGGGCGACATTGTGCCCCCTGCAGACGCGCGTTTCTTGAAGAAAGGGTTGCCTTCTGCTCAGTCCAGAGCTTCTGACAGCAGCAGAGCGCGGGTAATCTCATTTCTGCGCTCAATTTACGAGAGTGTAGCGGAAACACTGCCCGATGTGCGTGACGATACCTGCGAGGATTTTGATTGTCAAAACATGGTGGTTGAACTCCCAGAGCTACGCGACCCCTATTCAGAGGCATTGGAGGTCAAACCGATGGCGAAGTCAAGCAAAATGGCTGGAAGGTCCAAGGTTCGCAAAAAGAAAAGGTCGGTGACAATGAACCCAGAACGGGCATCTGAAGAGATCCGGTATTTGCCACCCGGAAACCTCAAAGATTTTTGGGGGCAAATGGTCGCCTCTGAGGCTGAATCCGGTCAATCCCCAGTCGCGTTCTCGACATTTTGGCGAGTTTGGTACCAGGAGTTCAGCTTTTTGCGATTCCGCTCACAAACATCTCACTCGATTTGTTCAACATGCGTTCAACATCGTTTGCTTATCCGGGAAATGTCGGGACACTTGAAAGCGCGCCAGGAGCAGCAAAGGCTGCACGCTTCGCATCTGCAAATGCAGTATGCAGACCGAATTTGTTATTGGGAGGCCCGTGGTTGCAGCCGTTTGCCATCTTCTAACTTTGCGTGTTTGATCTTAGATGGCATGGATCAGGCCAAGTTTGCCTATCCAAGGTCAGACCTCTTTGCTTCAAAAGAGCTGGCAGGCATCCAGCGCCCACGCGCCCACATATCTTGTTTAGTTTTGCATGGCCATATGGTCATTTTCACAATCTCGCCAAGTAATGTGGCAAAGGATGCAAATTCGTGCATAGAAACCACAGCTTTCGCTTTGACACTGCTTGCAAAGCACACCGACCTTTCAAAGCTCACGCTTCAAGTCCAATCGGACAACACAGTAAGGGAAGTTAAAAACAACTTCTACATCCGCTGGCTTGCAGGCCTCGGGTGCCACGGTTCTTCAGCTTGTGATTGGTAAGGCTTTTTTGGCAGTCCCACAGCAGTGTGTGTTTTTGGGTGGCGGTGGCGTTACGTTTGCTGGGGTTTGTGGATAATCCAGAGTCCATCATCTCAGGACTGATAAGGGGAGCCCGGATGTGCCAATTGCGCACCGGGCACTCCCACGAAGACGTTGACCAAATTTTTGGTCAGTTGGCATCCCATCTCAGCAGAAAGGCCAGGAGAGCATCCGGCCCTCACGATTTTCGCGACATCATTCAGCACTGGCTGGATCATGTCCTTGTTCGACCGCACGAGCGAGAACGGGTTGCAGTTGTTTTGGACCAGTGTCGCGATTGGAAACTCAACTAGAAGCGCTGCGCGTGCATTGTTTTTGCTCTATTGGAGTTAAGGAGTTAGGATGCTCAACGTCGGAATGATTTTGTTGTGTTGACTTCCTGGTAAGGTTGTAACGTTGATTAAGTCGGCTTTGTTGTTGACGTGGACTTGAGGGTCTCCTTTGCAAAATCAAGGAGATCCTTCTTGGCTCCTGGTGTTCCAGTTACCCTTGTTGGAGTTGGCGGACCTGGGGCACCACATACGTTTGAACTGCAGCAGCGTCAACACTTGAGTGCACTGCTTAGCAACATAGTAACGTACAGTAGATCTTGAAGAAGCACAGGACTGGACTGGACCAGACAGACAGTGACTATCAGAAAAATAATATCCATGAAACCCAGTGTGCAAGGTCGCGATATAGCAGATGGAGCGTCAGATCCTTATTGGAAGCTGGACCCACACCCTTGCGATGTTGTGCTAAGGACGGCCATGAATTGTTTGATTCAAATATCCCAAGCTAGTCTTAGATCACCAATTGAAAACGAGCCCAAAACGGAAGCCCGCACAAATCCCCAAACAGCTTCAGACATTTTGCCCATCCATGTTTTTAGAGGACGAAGCAATACATGTCAGATGCGCACTACAATCTCACGCTTGTCTACTTCCCCTACGAAGTGGCAAGAGTGCGCTTGCCACTTGGACTTCCACAAGGAGTTGTGGCGAACAAAGAGATCCCTGACGACTTCAAGCAGCAATTGCTTAAGGCATTGCCTGCGATGCAGAAATATCGACTTGACGCAGCCGCCTCTTATCTCGAGAAGTGGTTGACGGGCACATTGGAATTGGAACCATTGTTGGACGTATCAGCGTTCCTAGATGGGGTTTAGTTCAGATTTTCTGCGGCTAATTTAGATCAATGTTTTTTGTTGGGAAGCGGGGCGGACGGACGTGACATGGTTAATGCTGTGATTGTGGCAGGTGCGCATCCTATGGTCATGCTATGTTTGCTGGCAACCTTGCACCCCCTAACAGGGAGTTCGAGCCAATCCCCAATGTTCTGCAGTGGCTTGTCTATTATGTGGTCGTCAACAGTTTCAATTTTTGAAAGACGCATCAAGTTTTTCTGTCCAATGTCTTGGAAGTCTAGCCATTAGGGCATTGGCGAACGTGACCCGTGAATCCTGGCTGTCAGGTTGGTAACTCCGAAGGATACTACCAAACATGCAAAGCATTATGTGGCGACAGCCAAAAAGAACCTTGTTTTGTTAGCAGCAGCTAAAGCCTGGCGCCACGGAGTTCCGTGGTCTGAAGCATACAAATTGTGTGACAAAGCAATTGCAAGAGCGGAGGAGCAATTGTCTCTCAAACCGCTCCCTAAGAGAAAGGCTGGCAGGCGTGCTCGGCTTTAGAGAATCATGTGGATCAACAAAGATAGATGTTTGCTGTCGGCTCAATTCAATGGACCATTTTTGAAAAACTGTTCGAAAGCTTTGAGTGCGCTTCTTGTGGGCGGATTCAGTGTGAGTGTGGCTGCAGCTCATCAGCGCTGAAGGCGCTGAAAGTTGCTGTGTTTGCGTGAGGCTTGAAAAATATTGGACCTCCCGCCTAGTTGCCTCTTCCGTGTCACACGCGCTCCGGTGCATGCTAGCTCTTGGATTGCGCAAGTCTTGTGAGTGAGGCCTTTGCTGCAGCTTTCCGTGTGCGCTAGTGCCCCAATCTCACCACTTAAATTGACAAGTAAACTTGCCAGATTGTAGGTGTGAACGCCTTGCTGGCGTTTGATTGTGTTGCAATCGCAGGATTGTTGGCTTGGGCGGTCCTTTGTTTTTTTGGCAGCGCAGGCATTTTCTAGTCAGGAAACGAGTGTGGTTCTGGTAGATTGTTGAGTGTGACGATGGCTGGGGTGGTCAAGCGTCACAACAACAAGAGAGTTGCTTCTACTTCGCAAGGACCGCAACATGTGTGGTTCAGATGCTGTAACTGTAGTGCAAGTCATTGTCTTCTGTTTTGGTTGGTTTGGTTTGGTTCGGTATGCAGAACTTTAAGTGCCGCAGCAATTTCACGCAGGACGAAAGCAAGGCGACGCAGCTTCTACTGAGTACGAGGCCAGTTTGATTTAGATTCACAGTGCGTTGTTTCTCCATCCCCATTGAGGATCAGTTGGTCAAGATGGGCTACACCATGGAACCTGATGTTTTTCAGATGTGGTACTATGAAGCGGTGCCAGGCACCCCCCACACTTGCAATGTCTACTGTACAGCGATTACATGTAATTACATTTGTCTGGGGTAGTGCGCTGACGAAGCCTTTCTTGTCAGGTGAGATAGCCACTGACGCGTACAAGGGGCGCATTCTTTTTGTTTTGGGCGATGCAAACAACAAGCTCTCTGAAAAAATAGTGTCACTTGACCTCATTGGCAAGAAATTGGTCCATGCCCATTCACCGTTGTCCTCTTGCAAGTTAGATGGAGAGACCAATCTTTCATCTTGTGCCTGAGGGTGGCTGCTGGCAATAGTGCTTCTTGGGTGAACCCTGACTGCCTTCCATCCCGTGACAGCAGCAAAGAGAGGAAGGCCATGTTTTTCTGGCCTGGCAAATTCTTTGTGGAAGAGCCGGCCATAGCGTTGTTGCCAAACCCAAAGCTACGGGTGGAGGATCCCCCGGTCCCCGATGCTGTTCTGGCAGAGCGAATGGGGATTCCAGTGATTCACATTTGCGTTCAGAAGTTCGGCGCTGTTCTTCGGGGTGAGCAGCGCCGCCACGAAGCCAGGGATCGTTTCATGTATGATTAGTCACTGCTTGTGGATCGCTTTGTTTACTTGTTCCCAGTTGTCAAGTTTTATTGTTTCGCGTTGCAGACTCTTTGTATGAAATGTTCAGCATGGATCTGGATTTGACCGGATTTGATCCATGATATTGAGGCACGTTGCACTGAATGCCTGAGGCTCTCAAGACCTTCTCCCTTCTTCCGCAAGCTCCGCCTCAACAGCGCCGCCTTCAGGAGGACATTGCCATGGAGTGTCGTATGAAAAACTGTGGGAGCGCCGCCCCCAAAAGGCAGTTTTTTTCAATGATGTCAAGAAACCAAAAAAACACATTGCGGCAGTGTAGTTTACAGGGCATTGCATGCTTCTAGAAGTTTGTTGGTGCTTTCTTTGGCTATCATTGGGAAGTGTTGTTTTTTTTGAGAGTCTGATCCCACCTCTGATCAGACTCCAGGGGAGGTGTGTGCTAGATTCTGTCTTCAGGTTGCAAAAAGGAAATTTCCATCTTGAACAAAATGTGCAAATAAATCGTTCATTGATGATCAATTGAATCTGTTAGCCACAGGAGGGGAGGTTTTGTAGCGAGTTATGAATAAGATGCATTTTGAACACGGGCCTCCCTTCAATATGGACCATTTAATTTTCCACCTTGGAGATTCCCACGGACAGTCTGACTTGCTTGAATTCAGGCGCCGGGCCCTCCGCGAAAAGTCTGAAGTCGGACCAGTGGACCTTAACAAGAATCTGAGTCCAATATCGGAATTAAATCCGACCTGGAACTTTCATTCCACAGCCTCGTCAGATTTCAACCGAATCCTATTCCAGAATCTTTTTGGGGCTACCCAGCAAAAATCTGGAGTTGGATTCGGGGGCGGCGACCCGGAAAAGGCTATAATTTGACCAAATCCGACTCCAGATCCTTTTTGGGGCGACCTGTAAATGAAATTCTAGAGTCGGATTTGACCCGAATCCGACTCCAGATTTTTTTTGGGGGGGGGCTTGAACAAGTTTTGGAGTCGGATTTGACACGAATCCGACTCCAGATTTTGTTTCGGGAGACCTTTATACAAAGTCTTGGAGTCGGGTTCGGGTCAAATCCGACTCCAGAGTCTTTTTTTGGGGTGGCCCGCCAAAAAAAAAAGGAGTCGGATTTGATCCGAATCCGACTCCAGAACTTTTTGGGTGGGATTCCCAAAAAAAAAATGTTAGAGTCGGATTTGAGGTCAAATCAGACTCCAAACGGCTGTTTTGCTGAGAGTGCATTTGGAGTCTGATCCGACCTCGGATCCGACTCCAAAAGGTGATTTTGCAACAATTTTCAAATTGCCAGGGATACGTCCAAGCATGGTTGTTTTTTCAAAACCATCGTTTGGAGTCTGATCCGACCTCAGATCGGACTCTAAATGAAGGTTTTTGAAGGGTGCATTTGGAGTCTGATTTTGGGCATTTGCTTTTAGTTTGGTTCAGATTGACACTTTCCTTGTTATAGTTTGATCACGTAAGTCCAAACAAAAGCCTGTTTAATTTGATATGGCCGTACACACTGGACCAAGAAGTGAAACGTGTCAGGTTTGGATTTGAAAGAATGACTTTAACTTTTCTGACTCCCCTCTTTTTTTTAAAAAAAAGGGAGTCAAGATTCAATGTAAACATCCAATTCAGGAGCTTGAGAAGGGCCATGCGATGGGCCACGCGCCGGAGTCGTGGGAAGAGCGAGATGGATTTGCTGGGCTTGGGCGACAGCATTCTGAGACGTTCACATTCTAGATTACTTTGGGTTGTGAGGCTTTGATTCACACAGCTGTGATGAATCTTTTCACGTTTCTAGCTTAACATTTGTCCAGAAGAATGGAGCAAAAAGCGATGGTAGTTGGGGATGGCGATCGATTCAGATATGTTCCCTCATTCTTGGAATGCTGCCCGCCATCCAGGTACAACTGCGCATTTGGCAGTTCCCTGTGGTTTGAGACCAGGACACGCCGATGTAGGTTTCTTCAATTTTACAGCAAAGGAATGCAAGAGGATTCAGTTCTGTGCGTGTCCGTGTGAAGACACCTTTCTTTGATAAGCTCTCCAGGTTCCCGCAGCCAAAGTTCTAGAATAATCGATTTCCGCAGCTGTTTTCAGCATGAATCTTCATGTTGTGAGTTTTGATTCGAAAACCATGATACAATGATTGCACCTTTCAGAAACCCTGGTTCGACCTGCGCCTAGAACCGGAGCCCAGGAGTTCCCAACCAAGAGACAATGACCTTTTGCTTGTGTCGGGAGCTCAGAAAATGTAACAGAGTTGAGCCGTAAAATATTCACCAACACAATGGCGCGCGCTCTTTTGGAGGCTGTAGTGTGGGCTCAAGTTTTTGCATATTACACTAAGACTAGCCGGTGCATCGTTTTGATTTGAGGGCAGATGCTGGTCGCTGCTGAATGCTTTGACATTGCCCATTCTTCCCCAGATTCGGCCGTCCGTTTCCTCGGAGTCATTTGCATCTTCCAAAACTTCTGGAGCCTGATGCCTCTCGCAGTGAAAGCCCAGTGCAACTCACTGGAAGAGGTCTTCGCTTCATGCCAAAGGGGGCTGGAGTTTGGCCTATGCGGTTGGATGTGGTGGCTTCAATTCAAAACGGCTGACGATCCAGAGTTGCCAGCGCTCAACGACTACGTTGATGATACTGTTACCCACCTGGTCAACATGTGTGTAGATGATGCCACCAAGCTTGAGCTGAAGCTTTTTGCTTGCGAAGCCGCCTGTAAGTCAGGCCTGACGCTTTGTGAGAATCTGCACTGTCCTGAGTTGAAAACTGTTTTCAATTCCATGGCCAGCTTTATCGAAAAAGTGCAGGCTGGGGTAACGGCTGTGAAGTTTGAATGCATGGACGAGGTCTCACTGGCAAAGTTGATGTGAACAGTTAGCCATCAATGCCCCTCGAACGACGTTCCCAGCACACTTGGAGAAACCAGCGTTGAGTCAAGCGTCTTGAAGTTTGAAGTTGATGCCTGCGATTAAGTTCAGTTCCTCTCATTCTGTTCCAACCTTATTTCAAGGTTCAGACCCGGAGCTGTCAGGCCCTCAATGTGGTTTGAAGCTCTAATTGTTTCGAGCGCTGTGTTCTTGGAAGATTCTGCATGCTTACTGGCTGGTGTTTCTTTGATATTTTTTGAGGCTTCAACGGAGGGCCTCATCGCAAGCTTGGAGCTTTTGCAAGAATGAAAGCTACAAAAAAATCGTTTCTCTTTTGTGTGGTGATTTGTGTCAACTTGCCTGACTGAGCTGCAGCATCTCATTCCGTGAACCCAATGCTGGCTTAGTCTTTGAGCGTTTAACTCGAGATTTTCGAGACGGCCCATAGCCAAATTTGGCGCGTTTCCATGGGGAAGCGCCCCAGCGCTGGTGGGACGGGTGGGGGCAAAGCCAAAAAGGGAAAGCCAGTTGTACCTGAAGCTGCTGACTACCCCCATGTGCAGCGCATTACTGAGTGGCCCCTTGCCCTAAACTAGTTTCTGTTGCTTTGCTATTTCTTGAACGCGCGTGGCACGTTGAATAGCGATTATCCACTTCGCCAGGCCAGGGCAATATTGGCCTTAAGCCCTGCCAAGCAAAGTGGGAACTGGCAAATTATAGTGCGTTATACTAGGCGCGCAGTAGTTGAAAGCAAGCCTCAAAGCAGGTCAATGAGTTGGACATTGTGCGCGCATTGGACTGCACTTTTTGTGGGGCTCGGAACCTTGTCAAAGTAAACCCCACAAATTGGACAATGCTCCGTGCAAGGTTTGCCTCCTTCGTAGTGCCTCAAGGAGGAGCAGATCGATATTTGATGCACAAGTACAGCAGCAAGGCAATCGTCAAAAACACATTATATATTTCGTGTCAACCAAAGTTATTCCGTTTCCAGTCGCTTGATGATTTGATAAACACATGTGTATTTACATCGGAACTTGTTTTTTCAACGCAACATCGGAGCTGGTCTCAAATCGGAACTTTGAACACGTCGTTTTATAATATATGATATATTTATATAATTTCCACTGTAATCGTAGAGTATATCAAACATTTTTGCGCACTCCAGTTCTGGGTTGCAGTTGTTGCTTGCAGGCGGACCAGATGGGGTTTGCTCGCTGGCTAAATGAGACTTTCCCAGCATCTTCGAGGCATGGAACTCATCGAAGCGCGTGCTTTTTGTAGTTCGACTCGTTTTGGGGCTCCGCGCGGCAGCAGAACAATACTTCATTCGTCAGTTGGTCAGTGAGTTGGACTTCCATGTTGAAGCTAGTTGCGTGAGGCATGCAGTTTCAATTCAAGAAGATTATGCGATGATAAGTTGTTGGACTTTGTTCCAGGTTCACCTACAGCACGGATTTGGAGCCTGGACCGAAGATCCTGCGGCTTCATCAGTTGGGTTTCCGAACAGACTTCGGACTGACTGGAATGGCAGACCCAGAGGATATGATCACGCTGATCCAAATGATCCTGATCCAAGGGTTCCTTAAGCGCAGGAATTGTGCTGTTACTGTGCATTTTTTGTTTGGGCTGCATGAAACTGTCATTATTGCTGAGCAGTGCGTGTCGGGCTTCCAGGTTCAGAACTGACCCGGACGAGCCGGGGGTGGAAAAGTTGAGTGTTTGGACGCCCAACGCAGCGTACTTGGAGCAGAAATATACTCCCTTGCACCCATTGGACTTCGAGCGTGTGAAACTTAAAACTTAGTGCTTGCACAGCATAGTTATGTCATCCTGGGCCTCCATTTTAAGAAGGGTTAGTTTCCAATTCCCGAGGTGAAGAATCAATCCGGCCGTTCGGAGTGGCTTTCGTAAAAGGTTGGAGGCGTTCACTGGCAGCACTGATTTCATGTGAAGCTGTGAGAACCCTCGGGATCGATCTCAGCGAGCTCACTGATAACTTCAAGGCAGCTGTGCATGTCGTGCTGAAATCATTCGTTCTTGTTCATACAACTTCAGTGGGATTTGTGACGTGTTCACTGTTTTGTAGTTTCGTGTACTAAATCAGAATCTTGCCAGGTATCACTCAAGGTTGTCCACGCTAATGTTGGCAAATTCTCTACCACAAAAGACGCAGTGTTCGCTTCGCGAGGCTCTTGACTGTCGTTCTGTTGTGTTCTTCAGCCTTGAACTGATGCATTGATGCACAGCCTGGCAGTTGTTTGCTTGAGATAAGAACTTCATTGAACCATTTGTTTGGGTGTTAAACCCACCATTCCCAGGCATCACAATGGCTCACGTAGCCACGCGTCGGGCGCCAAACTGTTTCAATTTCCTTCGACAAATGGAAGTGTTGAAGAAGTCCGGCGATGACGTTTCCAGTTTCAAAGTGGCTTGGATTTGAAAAGGGGTAGACCGGGAGGTTCAGCAAGGAACACCTTGAGGATTCTGTAGGTTTGTACGGTTTGTTCGCGCCAACAATCACTATGTTATATGCATATTATCTTCAATTTTGTGTTTCTCAGGATTGGGAGAACGCAACGCAAGTGGCCCGAGCGTTCAGCATCGGGCGCATGGAATCACTTGCAGTGAGCCACCTCATGGAGCGTGTCTCGCCGGAGATGCTGTTGGAGCTGAAAGAAGCTAGCCGCTGTCGAGGTATGAGGCAGTGGCTGACACACGATGTGATCGCAAAAGAGATGTTTAACAGGGGGTGGTCTTCAGGGACAGGAGGATTTGCAGCGTGGTCCATCGAATCGAGCAACGACGCAGAAAACATTCTGGCCACCTGGTTGACATTTGAGAATTCAGTTGCTGATCCTGATGCTTCGCATTCCCTTTTTTGATACTGGACATCCGACAATACATAAATTCTTTTCAGATCATAGTGATAGCTGCCAAAGCTCGTTGGTTGGGCTTGAAAGGTGGCAAAGTTCATTGAGCGCCTCAAGAAGGATTGGGACAGATTGCCCTCGGGAATGAAGAAACCATGGCTATTTAAAGATGCGCTTCAGGTCCACGCAAGTTGCGGAGGCTTCATTGCAATCATGGCTGCTCTTGAGAAGAGTGTCCCGAAAGGTGACTTCGACGCGGCTTCAGCTACGTTGAGTGACCAGTTCAACTCGGGGTACCTCGATCCTGACATCACGGCATTCCTGGAAGTTTCTACGCCGCCAATCAAATTGTCGGACGTCAACTTTGTAAGGACCAGCGTTTAAACAAAGCAGTATTTGTATTCTTGTGGGTGTTGGCCTGACTGCCCTTGGAAGGAAGTTTGTTTCAATGGCCAAGATTATGCCTTTTGCAGTTTCTCGTTTCTTGTAACGGTAGGAACATTGTGGCCAGCGTGGAGCAGCGCAAGCAAGCCGACATGCACGAGAAGGAACGGGAATTGCAAGAGAAAGTGACTGCGGCCACTGTGGAGCAGCTTCGACACAAGTTCAATCAAGACATCGAGACTTTGAAGTCCAGGGTTCAAGGGCGCGAAGAAGTCGCGATGGAAGCTGCAAAAGATGCGCGGTACTTGTCCCAAAGGCAAGCGAGACTTAGCCATTTTGCGGTCATTTGTGGTCTAACCTTTTATATTTTCCATTTTGTGACACTGGTATATTAATAAGTTGCCTAGTAGGTTGGCATTGGGTAGTATACAAACCTCCTGTATCTCAATGTTCTGTGAAACATTTTGTCGGTCGATTGCGTTTAGGAAAGGGCAGCAGCACACCAAAGCGTTCATGGAGAAGAACTGCAAGCTGGTGTTCGTTGGGGACGGCAAGAACGCATTCCCCGAGATTGCGAAGTTCTTGGCAGCCTGGGGCGCGGATCACACGGCTGACAAACTGCTGCACAGTTTTTGGTTATTACATATTTTCAACTCTTTTTCACATGTCCCGGACCCCTTCCTACTATGCAGCCGTTCAATTTTCCATGCATCCATTCATCCACCACATCCGTCCCTAGGTCTGCTCATAGGTCCATTCTTCCACCCATGCATCCAACCAGCCAGACATCGCCAATCCATTCTTCTAAATTCACCCTGCGTCTCAAGTTTGCCAGATTTTGTGTTTTGAGATATCAGACCAGCAGTTTTCTGAATGAATCACGTAAGAATCAGGTTTGTGATGGCTGGGATGGATTGCTGTGTGTGGCCGGCGAATAGCTCCTATTTGGAGAACTGCCTGCAGACGTTCCGCTCGATCTTGACAATGTCGCCGCTGCACGCAGGTCACATGCAGCTGCCAATCTCACAGCAGCAAACAGCAAACACAGCTTTGCTGAAACACCGCACCAGATTGCAGCATTTCTTGCTCGAGTCGAAGTTGGATCCGACCAATGAGATCACATTGATCTTCGACAAGTCTGGTTTGCAGTCCGATGGGCCTGGGGCTAATAGCAAGGACAAGAGAAAGGCGACTCATCCATGCCACCTTGTCACTGCAGATTGCCACCCGTCCAACAGCTGGATGAGCAGCGCAGTGCCGGAGGCAGGAACCATTGGCCCTTGCCCATTGATCCGCTGCAGCGACATGCTGTGCTACGATCCTGACTGCCGGCCAGGTCCAGCTGCTCGCATTGAGCAGTCCCTGGCTTGCAATATTTTTCATTCAACGCGTGGATGTTTTGTATTTAACGCACTGTGCTAGCTAGTAGCAGCTAGTAGTAAGTTTCAAAAGCTCTGTGTTTAGTGGCTCCCTCAGCTATCAATCTCAGGAAAGGTGTCCCGGCTCATTCGCAAATTCTGCAGAGCTATTTGCGCGGGATTGAGTTTGGCGAGAAGGATGTTGTTGTGTGGGTGGATGTCCTGGCCAACAGGCCGGAAGTGAAGCAGTGTTTTTTGAACATGATGAAGGTCGCAAACGAATTACTTACCTCTAGAGTTTCAAGGTTTGGGGCTTTGGTGGTGTAAGGTAACCATGATAGTATTTTGATGCTTTATACTTAATCGCAGCGTAGGTATTGCGAGTTCGGCCGAGCAGTTCTCAAGCGCTTGTTGGATGGCAATTCTGGTCGGCCACGGGTTATCTACTTCGGGTGCCTGCGGGACGAACAAGCGGATGTCCAGAATGCGCTGGAGGAAATGGTGTACACCCATTGGGACCAATCGGACTCTGCACCACCTAGGTCTCGTCCAGTGGAGCAGGCTGCAGACCCCGAGCTCGTGCTCTTGAGCTGGTCCAGTGGGCAACCTTGCTTTCCAGAAGCAATCCTCACGAAGTACGCGGAGGGCACGAAGGGTCACAAAGACATCCACGCGATGAACCAAGAACTGATTGCTCTCTTCCCCAATGCGAGGGTTCAGGGTGCTCCTACTCCTCGAACAGGCGGCAGAGCGCGGGCAACCGGCAGGCCTGACTACAGCATTGATGGTGGTCTGAAGCCAGTGGATCACACACGAACTTTGCACAAGACCATGACACCGAAGAATTCCTTTACTGTGGAGAGGCGGGACGTCCAAACGTTACAGTAAACCTCTTGGCAATTTTCGTGCTATGATCTCAAAGGCCAACACTGGTAATAACTTGTGGCGTGGTTGTGTTGGCTGCACGCGTCAGGAAGCTGTACGTCGCTGGTGTGAAAGGCAAACCTAGTCTTGTGCTTGATGTTCACTACGGGCTTTGGATTGGAAACGAGTCAGAGGAGGAGGTCACGTTTGCCGCCGGTGAGATTGCCGGATTCAACCTGGGGAGTTTCGAAGAGAAAGTGGTTGCAGGCTCCAGCAAGCGGGTTTCATTGTGTACATTGTTTAGCCAAATGATTTTGTGACATGTGTTAACAATATATACAGTTTTGAAACTGTTGGTGGATCCCGTGGTTGAGGCTTGGGAGAAAGGGAACTTTCAGGGCTGCCATTTCGTTTTGTGAACGATCTGTCGCTTGTCTCTCACGACAAGAAGATCATGCCACTGGCCGACTACATGCACCAGATCTGCACTGTTCACGGCGTAGCGGACTTTGAGTTGGCCTGTCATGACGTTGTCCAGAAACAATATCCGCCAGTGGCCGGGTTGCAAACTTGCATTGGTTGGTTGCAATTTTGATTGTCCTTGTCGTGGACAAAATCTGAGCATCACTGCCTGTTCTTTGTCTAATTGCTTAGCTCTTTTCATAGTTTTTGCCACTGTTGCGCGTTGGTCCACATTGATCCGTCAGCTGTCGGTCCTGATGGTGGCAGGAGAGTGATGGAGCTGAGCCGGTTCCGGTGCCATACAGGTACACGTTGTCTCCAGCCAGAAACGGGAAGTGCCAAGTGTACAAGCCAAGTGCGGTGACCGGAGATGCAGTGAGGCTTTGAGCTTTGAGATTTGCAGCTATTATTCCTCATTGCTGTCATTGCTGTTGTGTGAAATTGTCAAGCAATAGGATCGTTACCGTTCATGTTCTTCTTATCAAGGAATGTAATTCAATGTCAATGCGCTCATTGTCAGGCACAACTCGTTTGGAGCTGGCTGGTTGGGCCACATGGACAAGGTTCCGAAGTTGGCTGATGGCGCTGGCATTGTGTGGGAAGCGCCTCGCTTCAACATGAATCAATGAGGATTCGCTCTACTACTACTACTACTACTACTACCACTCTTTAACTTACTACATGCCTTGTAGGCTCTCTTTGGTTCTTAGCCGCTGAGGTGCAGCTAGCAACTGGAGCTGGCTCGCCCAAGATTTATGGCACCAAGCCAAAACTCTGTTTGGCGGGCAGTTTGACGGTTGGCGCGCAGCAGTGGGTCAAGATCTAGTTTTTTCACCTCGATCATCGGTCCGAAGACCAATGCCGTTTTGAGACCAATGTATGGCTGGCAGTTCGGATTTCGCTGAAAACATGGCTCAGTGAATATCACGTGACTAGGAGTCTTGTGAAGATTGACTGGTTTAACTTTGTTTAACTTACCTTGGAATGGCCAGCAGTAGCTACGTGTCGTGCTGTTTAGTGGATTCAAGCAGTAGTTTGTGCCTGTCGCGAGTCGTTCATTTAGTTATGGCAAACCTCTTCCAGCCCGTCGTGGAGTTTTCTGATGACGATACGGACACGACTCAGGTTTGGGATGGTAGGTTACTCCATTACTGGGTGTAACTTGTGTGTTTATGTAAGTTTTCTGAGCAAACCAACATTTTGTGATTGCCATTCGCTGCTCTTCCTGCCGCTGGGGCAGGTTCTTGGACAAGACAGACGATCTACGGCCACTGCCAAGCAACAACCAGTGGCAAAAACGCTACCCAAGAAGAAGGTGAAGACCGAGCCCAAACAGAAAGCCGAACCCAAACCCAAAACAGAGCCAAAAGAGAAAGCCGAGCCAAAACAGAAAGCCGAGCCAAAACAGAAAGCCGAG